GTTAGGGTTTGGGTAAACTGAGATGGAGGGAGAAAGAGACTATTAGTGTATTTCTCATCAGAAACCTATAGATGAACCAGTGTTTCCTTCCTCAGCTCTATCGACATGGAGATCGTTCCCCCGTTAAGGCCTATCCTAAGGACCCCTATCAGGAAGGAAGATGGCCTCAAGGCTTTGGCCAGCTAACCAAGGTTTGTGCAGGTGCTCTCAGATAGGATTCTCTCCTTCTCATGAACATTTGACTCTGGGGCACAGATCCTTAACTTGTTTTACTAATGTTTTGAACTTGTTTTACTAATGTTTTGATAACTACTTCAATGTAATTGGTTTCCTTGTAATCTTGTATGTTTTGTATTATGCATTCAAAAACATTCTGAAAAGGGGTCTGTAGGTTTCACTAGACTGCCAAGGCATGTCCTTGACACACAAAAAAAGGTTAAAAACCCTTGTCCTCGGTACAGCTGCCTTTAGAGCATAACCTTAGGATCCATTACCCATCTTCCTGACCAGCTCCCAGATTGCTGGCTGATGCCATGTGGCTGGACGGGGTGTTGATCCACTCAGCCATCAGTCCTTCCTTGGGGAGAATTAAACACCAGCAGAGTCTAAGGTTCCTGGCCTTTACCAACTCTTGGGTCTGCCCTGCAGGAGGGGATGCTCCAGCACTGGGAGCTGGGCCAGGCTTTACGGCAGCGCTACCAGGGCTTCCTCAATGCCTCCTATCACCGGGAAGAGGTGAGTCTAGGGATCCAGACTGGGAGTCTCCAGGAGGAGGGATTCTTGCCTCTATGCTTGGCATTATCGAAGGGAGTGGACAAGAGAGCAGTCTAGGCTCACTACTTAATTCTGTCCTCTGAGAGGAGGGAGCACCGGCATACATGCCCCAGCCCCAGACAGCACCTCATCCTTCTCTGAGAAAGATCTCTGCACTGGGAAGGCTGATCAGGGTCACATTCTCTGTTCTTGGGTGCCCTGGGGGATTTCCCTTCCCTCCCTGGCCACAGCTGGTGGTTGTGAGCTGAGGGATAGGTAAACCACAAGCCCTCAGGAAATTCCTGTGAGCTGTGTGAAACGTGAGTGCAGCTGTTGAGGGACCTTACCCTAAAGACAATTTCTACCCCAGGTTCTCTCTCTAGTGTCGTTCTGCTCTCCCAAGCTCTTCTGTCTTTGCCGTCTTGCTCCTCATCACAGAAGCCCAACGCCCTCTGAGTGCCTCCAGCTGCTGGGAGGCCTGCTGTCCCAAGGGCCAAAGGGCTTCCCCAGCCACCCCAAAGGAGGTTTGCTCACTGCTCTCCTTGGCAGGTTTACATTCGAAGCACAGACTTTGACCGCACCCTCATGAGTGCTGAGGCCAACCTGGCTGGACTCTTCCCGGTTGAGGGGGCGCAGTCTTTTAATCCAAACATCACATGGCAGCCTATCCCAGTCCATACTGTCCCTGAGGCCCAGGATAAGGTGAGGCTGGCTGACCCTTTGCCCATGGGACACTCCCTCCTCTCCATTTCACCAGGCACTGATCCTTGCCTTGCTTTGTTCCTTTTTGGCTGCAGCTGCTGAAGTTCCCACTGGGCCCTTGTCCTCGGTTTGAGCAGCTACAGAACGAGACTCGCCAGAGCCCCGAATACCAAAATGAGACAGCTCAGAATGCAGTGAGTGGGGGTGAAGGTGGCAGTGGAAGGTCATGATGCTGTCAACCCACAGGAAACGGTGACGGTGACTACCTCTGGTTTACCTTCACAGCAATTTCTGGAGATGGTGGCCAATGAGACAGGTGTCACAGACCTGACACTGGAGACGGCCTGGAACATCTACGACACTCTCTTCTGTGAGGTATGCAGACCACACACCCCAACCTGCTTCCTCCTTCAGGGACCCGAGCCATTAAGCACAGGTCCCAGGGCAAGGGGAGTGGCCTCCCACCACCTACTGAGGCATCTGAGGGGAGCAGACACAACTTCCCCTCCCAGGGCTGAAGGAGAACCTCACAATGGGAAATGGTTTCCTAACCATCAGCAGTTCCTTCCCGACTCCATTTTGCTGAGTCATATTGTCCGTATGGACGCTTCCTCTCTTTGTCTGCTCCACGGCCTGATCCCCAGACATACTGGCTGCCACCCTGGTCCCTGTGCTTCATCTCTGTCTCCTTTCCCTTCCCATGTGAGCGAGCGTGTGCACACTCGCACACACACAGAAGCATTTGCCCATTTAGGATCTCTAGGCTCCCTCTAGCCCATCCTGCACTAACCTGCCCCTATGGTGTACAGCAAACCCATGGCCTGTCCTTACCGTCCTGGGCCTCACCCCAGACCATGCAGCACCTCCGGCAGCTCAAGGATCTCAGCTTCCGCTTCCTTTTTGGGATGTACCGGCCGACAGAGAAGGCCCGGCTTCAAGGAGGTGAGTGACAAGGGTGGCATGCCGTTCCCCGCCCTGGAATCCCTCCAAAGCTCCCTTGGCGTCTGTCTTCTGTAAGAGACTCTCATCCGCCACCATTCAGCTCTGCTGTAGGCACATGGGCTTCCAAATTGTCAGAGCCATATACAAGTTCCATCTTCACAGGGGCTCCCAGGCCAGCTGCTTGTCTTTCCCAACCCTTTGTTTATCTCTGAACAGCTAGTTAGTTGTATTCACTTTTGCCCTTTTGCAAATAGGGACATAACATGAACAAAGGTGTTCATGACTTGTTCAGAGAGCCTTTTTTGGGTTGTTCAGTTATTTTAAGTCATGTTCAACTTTCGTGACCCCATATGGGGTTTTCTTGGCAGATATACTGGAGTGGTTTGCCATTGCTTTCAGCAGCTCATTTTACAGATGAGGAAACTGAGGCAAACAAGGTGAAGTGACTTGCTCAGGGTCACACAGCTAGCGTCTTAGAAGATGAGTCTTTCTGACTCCAGGTCCAGCGCTTTATCTACTGTGCCACCTAGCTGCCCTCAGGGAGCCTTAGATTATCCCAAACAACTATGGCAAAACCCACTTCGATACAGGTGCAAGAATAGACAATCCTGTAGTCATGGGCCTTGGTTCTGATGCCTATCAGAGGCATCTGAGTCGCCTCCTGGGGGCCACCCCAGTGTACTCCAGCTCCTTGCTCATGGACCCATCACTGACTGTGGCAGCTGGCCCTGACCAAAGCCCCATGTAGTTGGGTGGGCTGTCGCACTGCAGCCCATTTTGCCTCTTGAGGTCATAAGCTATTTGAAGGCAGAGACCATGCTTCTAATTCTTTCAATACTTCCTGTGATATTCTAGTTATCTGGTAAAACTGGTAGCTGGGCTCACCCTTGTCATCAGCCAGATGAAGGAGTTCCTTTAGTGGGTGAGGATTGAGGATGCCCCGACGGCCACTGCCAGCCACTCTACGTTTCCTTGTTTTCCTTCAGGGGTCCTCCTAGCCGAGATCCGGAAGAACCTGACGTGGGCAGCGTCAGCCTCCCAGCACCCAAAGCTGCTGGTCTACTCTGCGGTGAGCTGACGCTTTCACTCGTGCTTTCCCACCCCCAACCAGCCATAGTCGATCCCCATTTTCCCAGACCCTCTGTTCCTAGGCTATGTGCAGGGGTGCCAGGAAGGAATGGCCCTCCCTGCCAGGGGGCGAGAGTAAGGGCCAGCAGAGATGAAGCAGCCTTCTTCTTACAGCATGACACCACACTGGTGGCACTGCAGATGGCCCTGGACATCTACAATGGGGAACAAGCTCCCTACGCCTCCTGCCACATGTTTGAACTTTACCAGGAAGACGACGGGTGAGTTGGCCTGGCTTCTTTGTGAATCCTGGGGCGGGGGTGGGGGGGTCAGCTTGCAGGCTCAGCCTAGAGATGTGGCTTTCCTGCTGCCCTCAGCAATTTTTCCGTGGAGATGTATTTCCGGAACGATAGTACCAAGCCTCCGTGGCCCCTGGCCCTGCTCAGCTGCTCCCAACGCTGCCCCCTCTCAGACTTCTTACGCCTCACTCTGCCCCTCGTGCCGGAGAACTGGGAACAGGAATGCCAGGTGACGAGCAGTCTGGCAGACACAGGTGAGCCTAGGACCATGCTGCTGCCTCAGTGTCACAGGGCTTTCTGACCCTGAAGATGTCACTTCTCTTCCTTTTCTCAGAGGTGATCGTGGCCTTAGCCGTGTGCGGCTCCATCCTCTTCTTGCTCATCTTGTTGCTGCTTACAGTCCTCTTCCGAATGCAGGCCCAGCCTCCAGGTTACCGCCACGTTGCTGATGGGGAAGACCATGCCTGACAAGTCCCCGGCCCCGTGTCTACAGCCTCGTGGAGGAGCTGGGCTACCCTCTGATCGCGCCCCGGCTAGGGAAGCTGGGAAGCCAGTTTGATGCAGAGACATAAGACTCTGAGCTGGGCACTGCTCTGACCCCAGGACCCTCCTCACCCAGCATTTCTGAGCAGCTGTGTGAGGCCTTGTCGTCTTCTCCCTCCCGGCCCTGGGGAGGACAGAGTAGCACCAGTGCGTTTCATGCTGAGCAACTACCTAGCTATCGGATGAAGGGAGTCCTGTTCAAGGATGTTCTGGGCGTTACTTTCTGCAACAGCCTGGAAACTTTGGCAGGTGGCTCACAGGACATTCTATCTGATCTCCCCACTACCCCCATGCCTAATTTAGCCAGGACTCTCTTCCTACCCTCGAGGCAGAGGTCATACCCCCAATTCATTGAGGTTGGAAGCCTCAGGGTTAGTTGCTGCTGTGTCCACTCCTCTGAATCCTGAGCTGGCTTGAAGAATGTATATAAAGGGATGGGGGGAGGGGGGAGGGGGGAGGAGGGAAGAGGGTACAGGGTACAGAGTACAGGCACATACAGGGCACAGAAGATACACAAGCCCTAGGCAAACGCAGGTCGTGAGCTGGACAGCTCTGGGCTGTAGCCCAGAAGGGACGAAGGTGGACCCTAAGGGGAATGAAAGTGTTGAAACTCTCCACGTTGTTTCCTGTGTCTTTATGGGGAGGAAAATGGCTTCTTCTTTCACCAGGTTATGGTTAGAGAACCCAGAGAGATTCCCAAGTGAATGTAACTTTATTGACTGTTAATAGTGAGGACAACCCAAATTAAACTGCCAGCGTGGTAACCAAACACAGAGGAGGCATTAGGAGTAACTGCTATCCCCCAGCCTTCCAGAGGAAAGGGCCTTGGCCCCAGGTGGGCTCCTGGATCCTGCCCTTTGGGCTTTGTTCTTGCATGTCCTCCTAGGCACACACCCTTTTGCTGCTGTTTGCTAATTCTGACGTGGTCTGTTTCGAGGGGAGGGCTGGTGGGCTGACCCGCCCCTCCCTAGTCCTTGTTCACTCATCACCTTGATCAGCCCCTCCTGCTTCCTTGTCACAATCTCCCGGTGGCTCCAGATGAGAATGTTATAACCTAGGGTAGGGAGAAAAACCTCACTGTTCTCAGTCTCTCCAGGCACTTTGGGGCTGGCCCCCGAGCTCAGGTCTCCTGAAGCCAGACAAGGCTAGTTACAAAGACTGACTGAAACATCCGGTCACCACTTCTGGGCTGACCTAGTGGGAGAGTTCAGGTCAGCTGGGGCAGGAGACCCTTTGTGTACTTACCCATTGCGGAGGCCAACGTGTCTCCCATGGGATTAAACTTGTTAAGCTGCAAAGATGATAAGAAAAGGTGAGTGTGATAGAAGAGAAGGGTGCCCAGGGGCCTTTTGGTCCAAGTAGGGCACCATATTGGCTCCTGAACAGTAGTCTTCAATCTCCACTCCCACCAACCCAGGCCTCACCGAGATGATGCCAGAGGAGTCTGGATCATAAAGCTGACACATCATCTTCCCCGAACTCCCATCAAATAAATCAATCGTCCGAAGCTCATTAGGGGTGAAACCTGCAAAATTGGGGTCTGGATATCGACCCACCACGATGAGGTCATAACGAGGGTGCCATGTTGCCTGGGAAAGGAGGACAGAAGTGGTGATCAGAGGGCACAGAACTCTGGAGCCTCAACAGGCATGGCAGTCAAGGTCCATTTGATAAGAGATGAAGCAGACAGACATGCCTGGGAATGTGAATGAGAGAGGCAGAGCAGCTGCCTGGAACATTTTGGGTCTGGCCATCTCCCTCTGCTATGAGTTGGTGTGCAGTAAGGATACACAAATTAGTTTCAGTCAAACCACTTGAGAAAGGGTAGGGAGAGAGTATGGCCAGTAAAGCTGTAGTAAAGAGAAATGTTTTGGATCAGTTAAGACAGTGCTCAATCTAGAATCAGATTGAATCTAGAATCCCTGTACAAGCAAAGTCTCGTATACTAAATATATGGAGACATAAAGTCTAAGAGTGGCTGGAAGAACAGAGACTAGGTATAGTTAAAAGAGGAAGACTTCATAAATCATAAATTTGAAGGAGGAAAGAATTTAGCAGAGAAAGGAGAAATGGTAGGCATAACGCTGGAAGCAAATCACTCATTATTGGCCGATTTGCTTGCTGTAGTGGCCAGCACAAGCTGAGATGGAGCAGATCAAGAAAGGAGCCATCTGGTCACATGTATCCAAGAGACATCCAAGGAAGCTTAGATTTGACCCGAATCGACCGAGAGCCCCCATGGGCTTGAGGGAAAGGGAGGAGGACGATACAAAAACTGCTCCAAAGAGGCTCTTGGTGGTCTGAAGAAGTGCCAACCTAAAGTCCTTGAGGGCCTGGCCTAGGACCGCGGACATGGCAAGCAAAGGGCCAAACTCATATTTCAGAGAAAAATCTGCCAAGCATCAGGGGAGGGCCAAGAGGGGTTACTCAGAACTATCTCACTGGGAGCCTGGGGACCAGGAGAGTGGTGCTGGGCATGGGGATGGGCTAAGCAACTGTGTACAGGAGACCATGAACTTCCTTTGAGATGGTGCAAGATTGCTAAGAAGAGCCATCTGCGGAGAAGATGGAACTGGAGAGAGCGGAATCTTCTGCACAGAGCACTTAAGCAATAAATGAAACCAGGTGAGGGGACTCTTTGAGACAATCCTGAAAGCCGCCCACATCTGAGAAGGTAAGAGGAGTCAGCCAGGAGAAAATAAAGTACAGGATCATGGAAATCAAGGCATAGCTGCCCAAGAAGGTTCCAGAAGGATGACATTTTTTGGTTGCCAAATGGCAGATCTGACCAGATCCTTGGCCTTGGATTGTTTCCTGGGCCAAACACTTCCTGCTACTCACCCTGATGGGCGTAAGATGCTGGAAGTGGCGATGAGGGTGGGGAATGAGATGCTGAGGACATGCCCAATGGGAGGCGGAGTACACCCGGATCTCGCTGTGCTGGTCTGTGGTCAGGAGTTTGGCCCCATCTGGACTGAAATAAGCTGGACAAGTGTAGGAAAAGCCTGTGTCTTCAAAGAGCCCCCGAAGTGCCGGGCTTGTGCATCCCCAGGCTGGCTCTCTCTCCCCTCCGCCCTCTTCCCAAGAGCCAGCCACAGTATCAGGGTGGAAATCATGAAGAGGCGCTCTGGAAACTTCCCAAGAGCTGACTGAAGGGGCTGGAAAGCTCCCAGAATGCAGGCTTATCTCATGCCATTTAATTTAAGGGCCTGATGCAGGAGCCCTAAGAATGGCTGCCATCCTTGCTCCCTCCCTCTCCTCACACCTGCACTGACAGCACGCTCATGAGGCATCTGGTAGACGAAGGAAGATTTCCCTCTGACCTGGCGCAGGTCCCAGATTTTCACTGTTTGGTCCACTGAGGCTGTGGCCAGCAACCAGTCACAGAGAGGATTCAGAGCTACATGGGTCACCTTCTTTTTGTGAAGCCTGAGATTCCATATCTGCAGAGAAGAAGGGCTCAGCTCTCAAGGAGAGAGCCATAAGGATGAAGAAGAGAGTGGGGCTGGGGTTCTGAGTTCTAGGGAACAAACCTCTTTGCCATCCATGTTCAGCAAGATCACATTGCCCATACTATCTCCTGTGACCACCACGCGGCTTTTGGCAGACACATCCACACTGGTGTACCAGTAGCTGGAGGGAGAAACAGGATCAGGTTTCTTCCACACGTGTTTCAAGTCAGAAACACAAAGCCCCGAGCACTGCAGGATCACTGGGATGTGGCAGATTGGCCAGGACTGAGCATGTGATGCTGCTGCTGCCGGTGGTCAGTGTGGGTCCTGGAGACAGCTCCCTGGTATACATTAGCACCCACCCCACCTCCGTGGCAGAAGGAATGCCAAGAGTAGGAGCCTCAAAGTCGGGGCTCTCAGGGACTCAGGTACAAGCCCTCTCAGAGCTCTGATAGGATGAGAAGACAGAGGGCCTGGAGGCCCCAACCTGTTCCTTGGCTCCTCCAAATACTTTGGCCAGGGGCAGGAAAGGAAAGGGGAGATCCTGCTGCCCACCAGAAACTCTGCTCAATTTTCCCAGGAGAACTTGGGTCTCCACTGAGCCCTCAAACCTTTAGGGCTAGGCCCCACTCATCACTGCTCCCACTTTGCCACAGATGGGTAAGAGTCACAGTGGGGACCTGAGACACTGGGGCTGCAGCCCTCTGGCCTCAGCCCTGACCTGCTCACCCCTAGCCCATGCACACACACTACACACAGGTGCGTGCCCAGCTTCTTGCCCCTGAGGAGACTGAAGTGCTCTATGCACATGACCCTCCTCTGGATGGACTACGAAAGAAGGACCCATGACAGGCCTAGGACTGAAGCCTCCAGCTCCAGCCCCTGCTCACTGTTTCTGAGTCAGGCAGGACAATTAGCCTCATCGCCAAGTCTTGAGCTCCCACTGCACCGAGGGATGTCTCTAGGAAGGAGAGAAGCCAGTCTCCGACCACCTCCTTTAGAACAACTCAACATCCCAAGTAAAGACTAGCCACACAGTCCTGGTCCCTGACGGAGCCACTCGCACTGGGAAGAGCAGGAAAATGACAAGAGCTTTCTCTATACCCCAGAAGACAGGAAAGGGGATCCCTTTGGATCTTGGAAGCCCCTTTGCCTTCACGATTTGGCTGCTTACTCCCAGGTGTCTGTGCTGGTGAAGACTCTGATTGTGTTGCCCAGGAAGTCCTTCAGGCTGGTAGTCCCCGCCACTGAGGAAATGAACAGCTGGCTGGTGTTCAGAGGGTTAAATTTCATCCCCGTGATGCTCCCTCCAGCTCCAATCTGAAAGCAGAAAAGCCGGGTGATCAGGACACACTGCCGATCCTTCGGATGCCTACAGAAAAGCTAGCCAACATCGGCAGGGACCAGAAGTGCACAAGCCAAGAAAGTTCACTCAGAATAACGCCGGCTTCAGAGGCTACGGCTCGACTAGAAGGGCAGGCGTGAGGAATACCGCGCCTCGCTTCTTCCACTGAGCCTTTCTGTCCTTCCCAACATTTCCTAAGCTGCTGCCCAGCTGGCTCAGAGACAGCACACCCAGCCTCCTCACTGACACCCTAGCCCCAGTGGACTCCTCTCAGTAGAGGGTGCCCTGCTGCCTCTTGGCCAGTAGACACACTAGGATCCCGTGTCAAAAGGGCGCACTGGGGGCAGAGCTCAAAGCAGTGGCATCAAACAGATCCCAGTCAGCAGCATATGGACTTAGAAAACCACAAATTAATATTATCGATGTTGCATTTTTATTCTGTTAAACATTTCCTAATTCCATCTGAATCTGGTTCAGGACATACTTGGGAGTTTTCTGCTGGCTGACTTCAAGTTTGAGACCTCTGATGCAGACTGGACTAGGCAGAAGCAGTAAGACCTCCTATGCTAGTCCCAGCTCCAATGACCACCGGTCATGCAGCCTCAGGCTAGAGACAACCTCTGAGTCAGTTTCCTCATCTGTCCAGCCCGGTGGGATGGCTATGCCAAGCAGAGGCATGAACAGATGTGGCTGAAGACTGAAGTCTTACATAAACAAAAGGCATTGTCAGGATCCTCTCTGCCTCTCCGAGCAGGACCTGGGTCAATGCGGCTGACTCCCACTGTTCCAAAACACTGAACTGATAATCTGCTTAGGATGTGAAAGGGACAGAGAAAAAGGCAGGGCAGAGGAAAAGGAAGAGCATTTACCAGGCACCTACTACGTACCAGCCACTGTGCTAAGCACTTCACCGAGATCATCTCATTTGATCCTTACAAACAACCCTGTGAGATAGGTGCATTACTATCTCCATATTACAGTTGAGCAAACGGAGGCAGAGAGAAGTTAACTGGCATAGCCAGGAATGTCTGAGGTCAAACTGAAATTCAGTTGTAAGTTAAATCCAAGCCCAGTGCCCTGTCCAATCTGCTGGGCCACCTAGTGGTGGAATGACCTGATAGGGGCCCATCCTATAAGCTCTATTCATACCTGTCCCCTCCCCTAGGGCCTGAAGGATTTAAAGTCACAGGGGCACGGTCAAATGCCTAAATCTGGAATGAAATAAGCACTGCTGCTCCCAGGCCAGATAAAAAAAAAGAGACAGAAGGGGGGCAGAGAGAGGGAGAGGGGGAGGGAGGGAGGGAGAGAGAGAGGGAGGGAGGGCGGGGGTGGGAAAGAGGGGGAGGGAAGGAGGGAGAAAGGAGAGGGGGGGGGAGGGAGAGGGAGAGAGAGGGGGAGAGGGAGAGGGAGAGAGAGAGACAGAGACAGAGAGCGCGCACCTTTCAGAAGACGATGTCTCCAGTAGTGCTGGGGCCAGTTCCCTGAAGGACAACCTTTGGAAGCCACGTAAGCCGTGTACTCACTGGGAGGGAGACGTATCTCTCTTGGCCCCAGACACTGAGTACAGTGAAGCTTTGGAAAGAGAAAGAGAAGCAGGGTCCAAGAGAGACAGGGAAGAGAACAGATGAAAACCTGGGAATGGTGAGCGAGAGCCCCAGAGTGTCAGGTTGAGAAGCCACCTCCCACCCAGTCACTTGATTACTGGTAGTGCCTCTACTAATACCTCTGGAAACTGCTAAGCACAGACTTCCCGGGTGAGATCTAAGGTGAGATCTGAGATCATTTTCTTCTCTGCTGAGCTGAGATTTTATCTCCCTCCCAAAGAGTTCATTTACTCTTGGGTAACTTTCCCATGTCTGTTTACATAAATGTTTGCATAAAAGGGTTTACTCACTGAGGCTGTGTTTGTATACCAAGCATTTAGTGAGAAGGCACTAAATTGTAAGGTAAGCTAATTTCCCATCCCCAGTGATCAAGGAAAGTGGCTTTTATTCTGAACTCCTAAAAGAAGAGAAGGAGGAGGGAGGCTGGGGTGGGGGTGCTCCTTTAGGGGGTTCAGAAGAAACCATCTGTTATTGGATGTGTGGTAGACAGATAGAGTCCTAGGCCAGTACCCCAATGGAGCTGGCTGTATCCTGCCTGACCTACTCTGGCTAAACTGCTTATTGGCTTTCCTTGGTGCAGCCAAAAGTGGAAACCTTCCCTGGAGAGGGGCCAGATTCTCAATCAGATACGTACCCATGCTACATGCAAGGCAGACAGTCTACATTAGACAGTCTATCATGTGAGAGCTTGCCTGCAGGAATATTCTCAGACTGATTCCTGGCTGGAAAGAATAGGTGCTTTTTTTTCTGCTTTTTTTTTTTTTAAACTAAGCACTGGGATTTTAGCTGTGGTTCTGGAGTTTCATGGTATTTTTTGTCTCAAGCTTGTCCACTCAGTGGTTCAGGAGGGATTTCAATGTGAACTGCTCTAGGCTCCAGTCTTACCCTAAAGTAGAAGAGGGCTGGAGCTGCATGCCCTGGATGGGGAGGAACAGACAGGATCCAGCCCCACTCCTTCAGTCCCAGCTGGGAGCTAGGATTACAACTCCCTACCACTGAGATGTGGGCAGTCTAGGGCAGAGGTTGTCCAATGCAGGTCCAAATGCCACCTAGAACTCTAGAGTACAGGGGCAGCTAGGTGGCCCAGTGGATAGACCGCTAGCCCTGGAGTCCGGAGGACCTGAGTTCAAATCCAGCCTCAGACACATAACACTCACTAGCTGTGTGACTTTGGGCAAGTCACCTAACCCTAACTGCCTCATCAGAATAAAAAAAGAAAACTCTAAAGTACAAGTGCAGCAGGAACCAGATTCAAATGTTAACTAGGAAATGCTTAACCAAATAAATACAACATAGATAATGTCATTTTGTGGTTTTTTAAGTTTTCTGTGGTCTGCAGGGATTTGTTTCTATTGGAATTTGATACCTCACTTCTAAGGGCATGTGTGGTGCCTGTTTTTAGGGGTTCAGAAGAAAAGCCACTTTCCCTGATCACTAGTTAACAGTCTGCTTCCTCTCTCCAGCTTAGTGCCCAAGCACCCAACCAACCTTGGTACACAAAAACCTGCCAGGGAGGGGGGCTGTCTGTTCTTAGCAATCTCTAAGGCTGCAAGCCTGGGAATCAAGGGACACAGTGAGGGGGGAGCTTCCTGGAGTACCCGCCTGGCTTACAGGCGCTTTCCTCACTTTCTCTTCTCAAGTGGTGCCCCTTCAGCTCCCCTGTCCAGGGCAGGCCTACCTCCCTACAAATGCAGAATCTCCTATTTATGACCATCTAAGGAGTTTCCTTTCCCCTTCCTAGCCCAGCACCAGCTCCTGCTCCGAACGCCAGGACTCTAGTCTGTTCTACTAAGTGGGCAGATGCCACGTGGGTGCTTAGGTTATTATTTCCTATAGCAAAGTCCCTGGCTTGATTACCAGGAGCCAGTATCGATTTTTAAATACCAGTATTCTCAAATTAATCGTGTCACATCTATCAGCCCAGGCACCTTCAGTACACAATCTCTTTTTGAGGGATTTTGCGTTGGGTTTTTCCCCTAATCCTTAGAGCTAATTCATTTCTTAAGAAGCCCTCCCCGATGTCCCTCCCACGTCAGAGAAGCCAGAGGGTGGGGCAGCGGCGAGCCCAGGGACTCACCCCTTTAACGAAATAGGTTTTGTCCAGTACTTCATAGTCCCAGAGGATGATGTCCCCACCCTTGGAGCCCACAGCCAGAGTGCTGGGGTGAGTTGGGTGCCATTCCAAGCACGTTGTTCTCCGATCAAAAGGACTTGCTGTGCGGAAAATTCGGTAGCAGTCCAAAGAGTACAAAAAGGCCTTCTGAAGACACTGGTGGCAGAGAGAACAGAAGCGGGGTTCAGACATTCATGTTCACAGCCAGTTCCAAGCACACCCCGAGGTTACAATTGCCTCTGTTGTGGCTGTCACTGCTGCTGAGCACCGTCTGGTCCATCTCCTCTGCCTCTAGACCGTTAATTATCTGGGATTACGACTAGGAAGATACAACCAACCAAGCCACCAGGTTGTCATCAACGAACCCCTGCTGGAGAGTACAAGACACAGGACGGTACAGGTGGAACCAGGTCCTACCGTCCCTAACAGGCTGGTCACTCGGATCAGGGTATTTATCATCACTCAGAGTCAGAATAATCTGACCATGCCCTCTACATACACCTACCTCAACCGGTCCATCCCCTAATGTTAGAGGGAAATCTGTCACCACAATAGTAGCCAAGAGCCAAAGGGCCCCAGCTCCATTCCCTTTAGTGCTCATAGAGATCTCACGTGTTGGAAGGATATCCGAGGTGCTCCGCCCAGCTTATGTTGGTGGAGAGCCCAAATGATGCTATGAGGGTATCCTCTCTGACCAGTCAACTCAAGCTGATTCCAGCCTGCAGCAGCATCTCCTTTGCCCACGCCTGCCAAGCAGAAGAGATAAATGTTTCCCCCTTATCCCAAACACAAGGAAAAGGAAGCTGACTTTGCTTCTGAATGCAGCAAAAAAGGAGGGAATGAGGGAAGCCCAAGAGATATGACAGCAGGCCAATATCACTTCTATCCACCCTGACCACACAGCACCTGCCATAGAGCTTTTCCATATTCCTCTTAACCTTGACCTAGTACAATGGGAAACAGACATAGAAAGTAGGAATTACCCCACCTAGGGCAGCAATTCTGAATTAAAACAGAAAGATGACCTAATTGTGGATGCCATAGGATCTGAAATGTGGAAAATAAGCTAGGGAATATGAACTGCCTTGCAGGACTTCTAAAATTCTATCTCTGAGAGGAGACAGTATACTTCAGATGACAAATTTTAAATCCGAGACAGCGCCTGATGTAAAAGCTAAGACGGGGCCATGCAGAAGTGACTGTCTGCGAGCAGAGACGCCTGGAAAGCAGCCCCTGAGGTGAATGGCTGTTAGTCTTGGTGTTTTCCATTCCAAAAGATCAAGCAGACCCAGGGGGTTCAATCATGGCCACAAATCGCCTCCATCCAAATTTAGGCAGCTAGCAGTTTGAGGGCTACTCCAGAGAGCAGAGTCCACTGCAACCTGCCAGTGGAGAGGGTCCAAACACTTCCAAAAGCTACTAAACCCAACATGGTCATCTTGTAGGCCCAGAGACACAGGAAGCGTCTTACATATGATAAATGCTTAATACTTGTCAGGCTGAATGGTGATCTAGAAGCAAATGGCTAGCAATCTGCTAGCGTGTGCCAGATCCAAATCCCAAGAAACCATCGGAAAACGACAGGGAATAGTTCTGATATTCAGGCACTACAAAAAAACCTGTCTTCCACCATCATTCCTAGAGGTTCTAAGGAATTCCAACAAAATTCCACTATATCGAAGAGCTCCTAATGAAGATTGTGAAACCACGGCCAACGACTCATTTGTTTCCAACGCTGTTCCACATGATAAAAATCCTGGCATGAGGTATCAGTAAATGCCCAGTTTTTTGAAATGGAATATAACCTGTGCCTTGTCCTCAGCCAAGATCAAGCCTAGAAGGGGAGCTCGAAAAGAAATGGTAGGAAGAGCAGGGCCCTAAGAAACACATGTTGCCAAGCTGGTTTCCCTCTCTGGGGCAGAAGCTATTCCTGGGACTATAGCAAGAGCTCCAGATTTGGAATTAGAGGCTCAGGGCTTGAACCCTGGCTGATCTTCAAGGCCTGTGTCAACCTGAATTTTCCTTTCTTGGGCCTCCATTCCCTCCCGTGCAGAATGAGGGAAATGGCCCAAATGACCTCAAAACTACTTTCTGACTCTGGTGTTCTATGTTCTAAATTGTCTTCCATTTCTGATAGATAGGCCACGTCCTTCAGAGTGGTTCAATTTGGCTATTTCCCATCTCCTACTCTCCCACTCCCTCACTTGCCCTGTTCTCTCCCTCCCACTGACCTGAGTCCTACCCCACATAGGTCCCTGGCCTGTCCTGCCAGCCCAGTAATATTAGCGTTCCCTTCCTTTCACCTTGCTTCCACGTTCCCATACTTGTGAAAACCCAGCTGCCCCCACCAGACCCAGCACCTGTCTGCCTCCTCCATTCTCCCAACTCCTGACACAGGAAGAGCCAACACAATCCTTTCTCCTCACTGCCACTCCACACTCTTCCTCCTCCACCATCACTCAGCAATACCTCTCCTCCTTCAGGCTTGTTAGACCTTTCTATTGGCCACCCAGACTCTGGGGGTTAGATTTTCTTGAGGAGCTCAGGAATTAAGTCACAGGTGTCCTCTTCTCCCCACCTCTTGCCCTCATACTTAGGACTTCAACACAAAGGCTGCTGTTTCCTCAAGTACCCTGGTCTCTCAGATTACCAACCTCAGATCCCACGACCTATACCTCATTGTGCCTCAGCCACTCACAGGAATGCTCCAGTCATCACCCCAAACTACCTGTATAACACACAATTCCCAAATTCATCTGAAATGGCAATTTCTTGTCTTTTCATCTCTGCCTCTCAACTAAACTTATTCATCTTTACTGTGACCTCTGGTCACTCCACCCAGCTCCAGCCTCACCTTCCTGTCTTCAGTCTCAAACTATAACCAGTTCAACCATACCCTATCCTCTATTCTCAAATCCCTTACCCCTTCGTCCTCCTGTTGCCCCAAATCTCAACCATGGCTTACCCCACCACTTGCCTTACATACTCCTCCTCATAGGCTGAACACCACTGTAAGTCACATAACTATACTGGGTCTGCTACAAACTTGCTACCTTATCACAAATGGGGACTCAGTGCTGCAGAGAAGTCCTTTCACTCTGCCCTGAAAGACCCCAGACTAGAAGCTACAAACTGTCTCCCTCTACTGCCCCACCTCTGCCTCCTACTTTACAAAGTTAAATAAAGACATGAGCTGATAATTCGAAGTGATGGCAGGGTCAAGTGAAAGTTAAATGGGGGGTGGGGATGCCAGAGGGGAAAAGAAACACTAGGCAAGTCTGCAGCCCTTGTAGGAAACCAGTAAGCCACTAAGTAGGAAGAGACTGAAGATGGGAGAGGGGAATAATTGGGAAATGATGGGATCAAGTGCACAGGCAGAGGGGCTGGCCTTGGCAAGAAAGGCCAACTTTTCATTAGACTAAAGAAAGATAGGGAATGATTTCCAAGAGTTATGGGGGGAGGGGGAGATAAGGGAGTTTACCACAGAACACCACACAGTAGGTGTCCTATGTTTGCATTTTAACCTCAGTACATCTCATATTGAATTTGCCTTCCCCCTCCCAAACCTTAAAAATGCCCACAAACTGAGGTCTCTAAGGCTCTGTCCTAGGCCTTCTTCTCTTCTCCCTTTATGCTATCCCACTTGGCAATCTCATCAGTTCCCTGTATAGAGATCATCATCTCTATACAGATGTATTGCAGATTTATCCAGCCGCAGCATCTTTCCTGACTTCTAGTCTCTTGCCAAACGATTACCGATTGGACAACTTGAAATGGATGACCCATAGGTATCTCAAACTCATCACATCCAAAATGGAACTAATTCTCTCTTCTCCCAAACGCTTCCCCCCTTCCCAATTACTGTCAGGCGCACCACCTCCTCCCAGTTACCCAGACTCCTAACCTTTGTGTTATTCTTGATACCTCACTCCCACTCATCCCATACATCTAATCTTTTGTCATCTTGTCTCTACCTTCAAAGGTGTCTCTCATTTATGCACTTTCCTTCCATTTACAGGACCCTTCCCTCATTGCCTCACGCCTAGACAATTTCAAAAGCTTGCCGATTGGTCTCCCTGCCTCAAGTCTCCAACCTCCCCTCCCCCACCTCCAGTCCAGCCTCCTCTCAGCTGCCAAAGGGATCTTCCCAAAGCATAGGTCTGACCTGATCACATCCCTACTCAAAAACTCCAATAGTTTCCTATATCTAGGATCAAACATAAACTCCTAGTTGGCTTTTCACAATCTTGCTTCTTCTCTTTTAAATCTTTCATCCTCTCTACTTACTTTCATCAAGCAAACTAGCTTTCTTAGGATTCCTTTCAAAGGACACATCTCCTGACTTCTGGTGCCTTTTTGTGCCTAGAATGATATCTCTACTCATCTCAAGATAAAGTTAATAAACACTTGTTCACTCACTGACCTCTTCTGAACTTCCTAATTTGTGCTGAGGGCCCCACTATTCTTCCAACCACCAATGACTCATTTACCCTGGCTCTCTGTGACTCTTCTGTTTCTCATCAGTTGCAAAGTTCAGCTGATACTACTTCCACATTATCTCTGGCACCTGTTTCCCTCCACACACGGATATTACTACAAAAACAAAATTGATTTCCCTGCACCCAGTCACTTTCTTTCTCCCATCCATCTTGTTCTATACGTTTAACTAAAATAACCTTCCTAAAGCACAGGTCTGATCATGTCACTCCTTTCCTCAGCAATCTTCAAGACTTCCCTACTGGCTCTAGGACATAACACAAATTTTTCAGCTTGCCACTGAAAGCCCTTCACAACCTGGTTCCAACCTATGTTTCTTTTTCTTCTGTTTGCTATTTTTCCCCAACTTTCCCCCTCCCTCAACTGACAAGCAACTTGATATAGGTTATACGTGTACAGTAATGCAAAATAGTTCTATATCAGTCATTCCAACCTATCTTTCTAAGCTCATGGCACGACTCCCCTTCACCCACTATGTTCTAGCCAAATGTGGTTTCACAAATAATACTGTCTCCCTCCCACATGGTTTTGCACGGCTGTCGCCTCATTCCTGAGAGCATATTTATTCTCCAACAAAGGTTTTCAAGCTTTTTGGTCGCAGGACCCCTTTAAACTCATAAAAAAATTGAGGACCCTCCCCTTCAGCTTTTATGTGAATTAGTTTATCCTACTAGAAAATTAGACGTCGAAGTATGACAAAAATAGCTTTGACCTCTCTGACGCCTTGGGGGACCTCCGGGGGTCCCCAGCCCTAACCCTACCGTGCCTGTAAGAGGAAGGGGATGGACCAGATGACTCCCGGGTGCTTTGGGGAGGCTCTAGAGCTCCGACCCCTCCTCAGGCTGCTACCTCGGCAGGAAGTCCACCCTTAAGTTATCCTGAGTCTACCCCGGGGCCCAAGTGATGCAACCTCCCCTCCCCCCCAGTAGACTGGAAGCTCGCTGAGGGCAGGGAGGAACTGCTTCGGTTTGGGTCTCGGGGGCCCCCTGCAGGCCCGCCCTTCCAGTTCCCATCCCCCAATACTGAGTCGGGGTCAGCCCTGGGAGTTGGGGAGGGAGGAAGGGTCTGCGATACCCCAGGTTGGCGGCACGTTTCTGCGGCCAGGGACCCGCACACAGCTCCTCTTGGACCGGGGAAGCTGCAGGGGTGGGGAGCTCCTCTTGCCGAGGACCGTCGGTCGCTTGGAAGCCATCCGGCCTGGGCCTGGAGGACGAGAGAGGAGGTGTGCGCAGCAGCGGGCCCTGGCTGGACCAGGATCCCCCAGCCACCCCTCAGCCCCCGATTCACGCGCGCCGCGCTCAAACTAACTTCCGCCTCTGGTCCCGCCCCTTCCTCTAGAGGCCCAGCCCCTTCCGGGGGGGAAAGCCGGCGAACCGGAAAAGGCAAATGGCTAGGCGTGGAACTGGGGCTAAGGACGACCGCGACGGTGCCTGCGCACTGCGCACAGCAACAAATCCAGGCCAGGAATCAAGATGGTCGTCGGCGTGTTTCGTCAGCGACCCTGAAGCCGCTTCAGGTGCGCCCTTTGCCAGGCCTAAGTAAGACAACAAAATCATCAACCAATCAGGACATCGATTCCTGCTCTGAGGCTTCTAATTGGTGGAAAAGTCTTCCTCTGCTTGAGGATTGGCTAATTCCTCCAGGCGTTGCCGCGGTGGGTGGGTTTAAGGGAGAGTCGTCCCTATGCTACCATGGTAGCAGCGGCCGCGACCCTAGATCTCTTTAACATTGGCCAGAGGGGCGGAGTTGTGGACGCCGCACTTTACCCAAGCGTTTACTGCTGCTACCCCGGCTAGCTGTCCGAGCCTCAGGGTCCTAGTTGTGGGTCCTTCTGACCAGCAACCTCAGACTCCGGCCTGACAGCTGGGGGACCCTGTAGGCAGGGAGGGGGCGTCCGGGAAGAGGAGCGAGGCGGGTCTCCTGCACCTGGGAGCCCTGGTGGGTTCAGCATCCCTGGGCGAGGTCGCCCCCAGAAGACATGGACTTGAGCGCGCCCCTCCCCTAGACCCAAAGCCTATCTCTGGCACTTTACTGGTCTGGGTCTCGGTTTCCTCTTCTGGAAACTCAGGGAGTTGGACCAGGTGTCCTCTAAGGTCCCTGTCCAGCCCTGCATCTGTGCGCCTCGAAGGCTAGCTTCCTTTTTGTCTTCTTACTATCTCAGCATCAAGCATACAGAGAAGGTGCTTAACAAATGCTTGGGAGGCAAAGGGATCCCCAGGGCTCATAGGATCGCAAATTTAGAGCTGGAAGGGCCCTTACGTGCTGCATAGGTATCGGTCAATAAATATTTATTAAGCGTCTAATGTGCTAAAGGTGGAGGCTACAAAGAAAGGCACAAGACAGTCCCTGCACTCAAGCCGATCACCACTGATTGGGGGAGACAATTTGAAAATAAGTATGTTCAAACAAGATTTAGACAGGATATATCGACGAGAATTAAAAGAGGGAAGACGCTAGCGTAAAGGGGAATAATAATAATTTTTTTAAAAGGCTTCCTGTAGTATTCTTAAGCTTTATTCTTAAGCTTATGATCTTTCTTTGCTTGGGACTCTACTTTGATGGAGAATGCCTCTCAACCAGTTCAGTTACTGGGCCACCCATAGGCTCTACTCAACATTCTAGTTCTTTTTTTTTTCCCTTTTTTTTTTTTTTTAAGGCAGTTGGGATTAAGTGACTTGCCCAGGGTCACACAGCTACTAAGTGTCAAGTGTTTGCACTGAAGACGGATTTGAACTCAGGTCCTCCTGATTTCAGGGCCGGTGCTGTATCCACTGCGCCACCTAGCTGCCCCCTCTACTCAACATTCTAGAAGTTTTCCTGGGGTTGATGGGGAGGGGGTGGGGCAGAAAGATCCTAACCATATGCTAGAGTTCTATACAAAAGGTCCCCCAACAGACTGTTATAGAGCATATAAAAATGTAAGTCAGTGGGACAGAGAAATTCTCAAACGGAGCCATGCTCCCAAGTGCCCTGGAATCTATCACCTATTGGTCCTTTTGTACCCATCAGTCAATATATGTTTGTTTGGCACTTTCTCTGTGGCCAGCACTATGAGGGATATAAACATATGTTTAAAGAGTTACAATTTATTTGGGAAGAACAAAATCAATTTGATTGAATAAACATTCATTTGGTATGCAGAGCACTAAGCTGTGTGCTTGGGGAGATGCATGTTTCATATATTTGATCCTGGAGGTATTAGGAAGCTACTGCAGCTCTTTGTTAGTGGGTGGTGGGTTGGAGAAGGGGGATTAAAGTGGTCATAGCTATACTTTAGAAAAAGCAGCCACACAGAGGATGGATTAAATTGGGAAGAGATTTGAGGCAGGAAGCCCAACCAGAAGGTTATTGCTATAGTCCAAGCAAGAGGTGATAAATGAAGTAGGGTTGTGGCTGTGTGAGCAAAGGGAAAATGACAAGATTTGGCAATGGTTTGGATGTGCGGGGTAAGTCTAAGCAAGCAGTCGACGATGGCAATTAATTTTAAAACCCAGGTGACTGTGAGGATGATGGTATCCTCAACAGTTGGGGGAATTTAGAAAGAGAAAAGAGTTTGAGAAGAAAGAGAGTAAGTTTTGTTTTCAACATGTTGAATTTGAGATGTGTATGGGACAACAGATTCAAGATAGATATCCAAAAGGCAGTTGGGGATGCAGAACTATAGCTCAGGAGAGAGACTAGGACTGGATATATAGATCTGGGAATTTCAGGTGACTGAGGAAGGATTCCTGTCTGCTGATTCAAATAGGCACAAATGGTAATTCCAGAAGGAATCAAGGAATTGCTAACAACTACAAAGTCTTGTCCAACAGAAGGCTTTCAGGACAGAGGCCACATTTTCTTCCCTGTTGCTGTTAGAGGGCAAGGGCTTCAGGAGAAAAAGGCATATTTTGTCTGACAACGGGATTTGGATTCTTGGATGACAGCTTTAAATACAGGGAGGATAAGCTTCTGAGTAGCAATAAAATAATAAACATAATAATAAAAATATAAATATAAAATAAATAAATAAGTAAAAATGATAAACATAATAAAAACAATAAAACAATAAAATCTGACTAGGGCTGGTAAGAATGTAATTGCCTGAAGTCTTGCAAATCTAATCGTAAGGGCTTTAAAAATTGAAAAGGCAAGGGTAGGGACAAAACTGTGTGTGTATATCTACCAAGTTAGATGGAGTAAAGAGTAGCTACTATGTAGATGGAAGAATAAAAGCAGAAGTGCCCAGAAATTCAAAGAAGACAAAATCCCTGAAAGCTGTCAAACCCATGGCCTTAGATGACTACGTGCAAATGTACAAAATATAGGTTACAAGGTAAATTACAGAGACTACTGCTGAGGGATGGGGAATATGATCTCATTTATTTCATTGACATTGATGGGATTACTCACTCAGATATGGTTGTGGAAATAAATTTCTTTCTCTTTTTTTTTTTTGGCTAGGAAAGGGGGTTAAGTGACTTGCCCAGAGTCACACAGCTGGTAAGTGTTATATGTTTGAGACTGGATTTGAGCTGAGGTCCTCCTGATTCCAGGGCTGGTGCTCTATCCACTGCACCTCCTAGCTTCCCCTGGAAATACATTTCTTATTCGAAAGAGAGATGCAAGATAACAGGAAGGAGTGGGGAGAGTGTTAAGAGTAGTATTGTATATTAAGAATGTATATTCATGAGGAAATCTAGGAACTATTGTGGTCAATATCTGGATAAAGATCAACAGGCGCAAAACCAAAATCGATACTGTCATGAGGTTGTCTTCCAGACTGCCTGACAGAACAAGGAAATAGGTAAGGAGTTTGGGAGAGTGGTCACACATCTGATATGGTCACACGGTAGAATAGGGATGGGGGACTTCAGTTATCTGGACAGCTGGTAGAGCTCTCTCTCTGCCCAAGACAGAAGAGCTCATAATTGATTGACTTGCCTTAATATTATCATCCTTCACGAGGTAGAAGAATTAATGAGCAAAACTTTTCTAGATCTGATTCTCCCGAAAAGGAGAAACTGTTTTGCTGAGTTGGGACTAGTGAACCTTGAGGGGGAGGTTGACCACTTCATCTTGGAACTTGTGATGAAGGAGAAAAAGGTCTGGCATAGTATAACATAATACACTAAATTTGGGAGAAAGTATATATCTAATAGTTCAGAGAGAGAAGACTAGAAGCTCACATCCTGTCATTCTTCAGGGGAAGTCAGTCCAGGGAGGGGAGGAACGCTCTTGAGAAGGGAAATTTTGAAGGGACAAAAAGAAAATGGTGATGAGGAGGGAAAGGGGAGTATCTAAAGAGGCATGGGGTTGTGGTTGTGCAGGGAACTCATAAATCAACCTAGACTTTTAAAAGGCATGTACAGAAGGCCATGGCACAGTCCAGTAAGAATAAGAGTCTGGAGTGCTAAAGCTCAGAATGAGCTAAGGCTGCTGAGGCAAGGAAAACAACAACAGGAAGAGTTTTTAAATGTGCCCTATTGAAAGAAGAAGGATCAAAGAAATAACACACTATTCACTAACTGAAGACCAAAGAAGGCTGAGCTGCACCTGTTCCTTGTTTTCTCTGCCAAGGGGAATGATCTTTGGCCTAGAAAGGACAGAATAAAAATAGCTAATGGGGAGTTGATACCAGAGATAAGCAGGGGATAGCTGCAGAGTACCTACTTGCCTTCAGTAAGTTAGTTCAAGTTACCTAGACCAGGTTAAAGACATTCCTCGGTTACCGAATAGATTGCAAATATGATTGGGGGGCCATTGTCAGGGATCTTTGAAAGACCTGGAAGAACATGTGAGATACCACTGGACTGGAGGTAGACAAGTGTCCCAATTTTCAGAAGAGGAAAGAGAATGGAGTCTGAAAACTATTGACTTCAATTCCTGGTAAAATTCTAGAACATATTACTAAAGGGATGGTCAGTGGAGTTCTAGAGAAGGAAGAAAAGGGAAAGAACCAGCATAACTTCATTAAGAATAGATCATCCTCAGCCTAACCTTATTTCCTTTTTTGACTGGGTTACTAGACTGATAGATAAGAGAAATGCTTTTGATACAGTTTACTTAAATTTTAGCAAAGCATTTGATATTCTTATGCTGTTATTGTGGAAGACATGGAGACATGGGCTAGACTATAATACATTATGTGGTTTCAGAACTGTTGAATGGTCAAACCCAAAGAGTGGCCATTTATGGTTCAGTGCTATCTTGGAAAGGGGATCTGGCTTAGTTGGCCCTGTGCTTTTTAACATTTTATCAATGACTTGGATCAAGGTATATGCAGTATGTCCATACATGTGA